ATTCTCTCTCACTGTCTCGTCACTCTCTCTCTCTCTCTCCCTCTCATTTTCATTCATTCTCCGTCCCTCTCACTCACTCTCTCGCCACCTCTCCCATTCTCTCTCTCTCTCTCTCTCACTCCCCCCCCACTCTTTCTCTCCTATCTCCCTACCTCTCTCTCTCTTTCCCTCTCCCTGTCACTCTCTCTCCCCCTCTCTATCCTCTCTCACTCACCCTTCCACGTCTCCCACACCTCCCTCTCACTCTCTCCTCCCTATCTTCTCCAGCTGTCTCTCTATCACTCTCACTCACTCTCTTTCTCCATGTCCGACTCTCTCTCACGCTCTCCCTCTCTCCCCCGCCTGCCCCCTCAACCCCCTTCCCCCCTCAGACACGACTGGCTGTGGCTGTGGCCGTTGATGTCCTGCAGACTCCGGGGTTGGAGCTGGAGCCAGTGATCGCTGAGGTGGAGGAGACGGAGCTGGAGGAGATCACGACCCCACTGACCCCTGACCCCAGCCCCGAGGGTCTGTACTGGTCAAAGCCCCCGAGCGAGAGCACGGCTCAGCCCGTTATCACGTCAACAGTCACCTACGGTTACGAGAAGCACTTCCTGCCGAACCCAGAGGATCTAATATACGACTGAGCTGTTAAAAGCGTTAATGGATCCAGTAGCTCAGCGGGTAGACCCCTCGCCTCGCAAGCGAAGAGTCCTGGGTTGGATTCCCGGGCGGTTCAGGTCAGGATGAAACATTGGGCAACTTTCCTCACTCCACACACACTCCCCGCGCCTCTGTTGAGCAGCAGCAAGTAGGAAACCGGTCGTTAGTCGAGTGGCTTTTCCTGGGATAATAATCCCATCAAAAATAATAATAATAATCATAATTCGGTCACTTCAACCCACGGCTGTTTGTGGGGCCGCCGCTGGGCGCCATTGGCTGCCGCGGTTTCGCCCACAAAATTCACAGTCGATTCACTTGACAGCGAGTCCCGTGAAGCGCTTTGAGACGTCTCTCCATTCACGTCGTCCTGACTGTCAGGTCAGGGGCTCAAGGGACACGGGGCAAACAGCAGGTCGTTGGAGTTGAAGTACGGATCAGCCATAGAATGATGCAACAGGCTGGAGGGGCTGAATGGCCTCTGTTCCTATAAACGAGCGCATTTATCCAGAGGGACTGTCGGCCAGGACACTGGCAGGAAAGAGAGAGAGAGAGAGGATCGCAGGATCTGTAACGTCCACCTTGAACAGGGCACAGGCGGGAGGGGGAGAGGTGGGGGGGAGGTGGGGTGGGGGGTGGGGAGAGGTTTAACAGCGCCTCCTGCGAAGCAGCTCCCTGTGCCTCAGCCCCCACCCCCCCCACCCCACCCCCACAGCACAGAACTGACTTGGCATCAGCCCAGCTGAGGGGCTTGGACCCACCACCCCCTGCTCTCAGTGTGTGAGGTGCTTGGGGAGGGATGGGGAGGACACTGAAAGCACAGCCATAGGAAGGATTAATAACAATAAGTCTCGCACAAGCGCAGATCTCACACAATCATCTCACCCCGAGCGGAAACCAGCGAGACAGCGAGAGCAGCAACCTGCAGATAAGTTTTATTTTTGTGAAAGACTGGTGGAACATTAAACGGCTCGAAAGCCCCCTTTCCTGTTTACCCCGGTCTCTGCGGCTCAGTCTGATGCAGATAAGAAAGCTTAACCCCTCGCTGGCCCCGGCCCTGGCTGCCACAGCCTGTGTTAACCCCGACCGGGTTCTCGGCCTCGCGCCCACGTTTTTAACGTCCCGCCGTCTGTCGGCGCTGAGAGCAGCCTCGGCAGCTCAGCTCACCGTCCCCTCGGGGCTGGGCATCAGCAACCTCCAGGGGACACGCGTGGCCTTGGTGTGTTCTGCGTTGACATGTTCAGTGTCATGTCGGCGTGTCCAGGTGTTGGCGTGACGTATGTCCCAGGTGTTGGTGTGACGTGTGTCCCAGGTGTCGGCGCGACGTGTGTCCCAGGTGTCGGCGTGACGTGTGTCCCAGGTGTTGGCGTGACGTGTGTCCCGGGTGTTGGCGTGACATGTGTCCCGGGTGTCGGCGTGACGTGTGTCCCAGGTGTTGATGTGACGTGTATCTCAGGTGTCGACGTGTCAGGTGTCGGCGCGGCTCACACATGGACCTCTGTGGCCCCGGTGTACGCCGGTGTGTCCTGCTGGCCCCGGCCCGGGCAGCACAGGGCCTTGGCATGCTCGGGCAGGGCCGCGTACAGCAGGGGGTGGAGGCAGGCATTGAGGGTGACCAGACCCTTGCTGACCTGGTAGGCCTTGTAGATGCCCCCGGCCGCCTGGTCCAGGCCGTGGAGCCTCCGGTACAGGTTGACATTCCTCAGCACCGTATAGGGCAGGAAGGAGACGCCATACAGCGAGAGGACCACGAGCACCAGCGCCAGGACCCGGTGGCGCTCGGCCCGCTCCACGCTGGGGCTGGCCCAGACCGCCCGCACCACCGACAGGTAGCAGCTCAAGGTCACCAAGAAGGGCAGGGCGCAGCTCCACACGGCCAGAAACAGGCTGTAGTGCAGGTAGCCGGCCAGGCGGGCGTCCACGGCGGTGCCCAGGCACTGCAGCTTGCCGTGCCGCTCCTCCAGCTGGGAGTAGGAGAGGGTGGGCCCGGTGATGGCCGCGGTCAGCAGCCAGCCCGCCAGGCTGGCCAGCTTGGCCCGGCCGGGCCGCACGTGGGCCCGGGCCAGCATGGGCCGCACGATGCCCAGGTAGCGGTTCAGGCTGATGAAGGTGATGAAGAGGATGCTGCCGTACAGGTTGCAGGTGAAGAGGAAGCGCTCGGCCCGGCAGAGGCTCTGGCCAAACCGCCAGGACTTGCCGCTGGCGTAGTAGGCGATTAGCAGGGGCAGCGAGGCGGCGTACAGCAGGTCGCTCAGGGCCAGGCTGAAGGCCAGCACCGTGCCCGAGTGCCAGGGCCGGGCCACCCGGCACACGAACAGCCAGACGGCCAGACTGTTGCCGGCCAGCGCCAGCACACACTCCACCCCCAGGAGCGGAGGCAGCACCGCCATCTGCACCGCCCCGAACGAGTCGTTGGAGGAGCCGTTAGCGTTCGACATCCTCCCCTCCCTTCAGTCCCTCCCTCGCTCACTCGCTCCCTCACTCTCTCGCTCACTCACTCACTCTCTCGCTCCCTCACTCTCTCGCTCACTCACTCTCTCGCTCACTCACTCCCTCGCTCACTCACTCACTCACTCACTCTCCTGCTCCCTCACTCTCGCTCCCTCGCTCATTCACTCCCTCACTCGCTCACTCACTCACTCTCTCACTCACTCCCTTGTTCACTCACTCTCACGCTCACTCACTCCCGCGACTGTCTTTTTCTACGGTGTCCTTTACACACACTCTCTTTTGTGTATTCTCGTTTGTTCACTAAGTCTCTGGTTCGCTCAATCACTCTCTCTCACTCTCTCTCTCGCTCTCTCTCTCTCTCACGTACACTCCCTCTTAGCCACTCGCTTTCTCATACGTCCTATCTCTCGTTCTCTCTGGTGCGCTCTCTTGTCTTTCGTTTTCTCGTTCCCTCTCGTTTGTCGTGTCTCGCGTCCTCTCCAAATTCTGGGCTCTCTGAAATGTGACAGAAATAGCGTAAATAGCGTGAAAAAATAATAATAATAATACTCCTGACATTGGACACAGCAACTCATCACGTAATCGAGACATCTCACAGCGTCTCAAAGGTTAATAAGGCCGTAAGAAAAGCAATCCAGGCATTGGGTTCATTTCTAGAGGGATAGAAATGAAAAGCAGGGATGTTATGGTAAACTTCTATAGAACCTCGGTTAGACCACACTTAGATACGGCGCAGTTCTGGTCCCCACATTATAGAAGGGATGTAGAGGCACTGGAGAGGGGGCAAAGGAGATTCACGAGGATGATCCCAGACCTGAGAGGTTATAGCTATCAGGAAAGGCTTTTCGCTGATAGAGGTCTTTAAAATAATGAAAGGTTTTGATAGGGTGGACATAGGGAAGATGTTTCCACTTGTGGTCGAGACCAAAACCAGGGGCCATCAATATAAAATAGTCACAGATAGATCAAATAGGGAAGTGAGAAGAAATGTCTTCACACAGAGAGTAGTGGGAGGGTGGAACATGCCGCCACAAGGGGTTGTTGAGGTAAGTAGCAGATGTGTATTTAAAGGGAAGCTAAATAGGTACATGCGTTGAGGCGAGTCCTGTAGCTCAGTGGTTAGAGCACTCGCTTTGCAAGTGAGAGACCTGAGTTCAATTCCAGGCAGAGGGCGAAACCTTGGGCAAGTTTCCTTACTCCACACAGAGCCTAATAATAATCCCTCCAAAACCAAAAACAATAATAAATTGGTCATTTTCAATCTACGACACTTTGTGGGACATTGCTGTGCGCAATTGGCTGCCGCGTTCGCCCACAAATATACAGTCAATTCACTTTACAGTGTGTTCTGTGAAGCGCTTTGGGACGTCCTCCCGACGTGAAAAGCGCTATATCAAATGTAAGGATTATTATTATTATTATGAGGGAGAAAGGAATAGAAGGTGATGCTTGAAGGGTTAGTTGAGGAAGGGCAGGAGAGGCTCATGTGGAGCATAAACACCGGCACAGACCAGTTGGGCCAAATGGCCTGTTTCTGTGCTGTATACTCTAATGGATTCTAATGTATTATTATTATTATTATTATAAGTGTTTGCTGGACGAAAAAAGACTGAGGTCCATCTAGTTCGCCTTCCACCTGTCCTGGCCGTCGCTTGACCTGTCGTGTCCCAGACTGTACTCTGTATTCGCCCCAGATATTATTTTCCAGCAAAAATCCATCACATTTGCTCTTGAAACAGACAACCATTTCTGCTTCCACCGTCTGTCTCCCTGGGGAGGCTGTTCCATCGCGTTTACCACTCGCTCACTGAAGTAGGGTCTCCCCAAATAATTTCACTGCACTACTTCAATGAGCAAGTAGTAAACGTAATGGAATTTGCATCCCCCACCCCACCCCTTCAATCGCGAGCCGTGTCCTCTGGTTCTACTGTTCAGTCCAAGACAAAATGGCTTATTGTGATCCTCGTTATCTGTTCCCTTCAGAATATAACAACGTGAGACCTGGTTTCGATTCCCGGGCGGTTCAGGGCGAAAGGTTGGGCAAGTTTCCTTACTCTCCACACGTACACACGCCTCTGCTTACCAGCAGTAAGTAGGAACCTGCTTTTCCAGGTGGTCATAATCCCTTCAAAAACAATAGTAATAATAATAAATTGGTCCCTCAACCCACGGCTGTTTGCGGGGACGCTGCCGGGTGCAATTGGCTGCCGCGTTTCACCCGCAAAAATGTACAGTGTGTCCCGTGAAGAGCTTTGAGGCGTCTCGAACACGTGATAAGACGCTGTGTCGAATGCAAGGATTACTATGATTATTATTAATATATTGTAAAGTGTAGTGACTGAGTGATTTGTGGGTGAATCTCTCTGGGGGGCCTCTCAGGGTGGTGGGGACGGGGGGGGGCTGTTTTTTATGTTGCATTAATCGCCCTAAACAGTGACCCCCCCCCCCCCCCCCCCCCCTCTCTGTCGCCTCAAGTCTTTCAGCCACGAGGCAGGGAAACCAACACAGTTATGCAGCAAGACTCGCTTCCACACGCATACCCATGCACACGCTTGCACACGCATACGCTTACGTACACACGCGCACACGCTAAACACACAGTCAATTCACTTTATCCCGTGTAGCCCGTGAAGCGCTTTGAGACGTCTCAAAGACGTGATCAGGCGCTGTATCAAATGCAACAATTATTATTAATATTATTATTATCAAACAAGTTTCACAATTCGGATTGATTTTAATTACCTGCTGTAGCCTCGAGACCAGTGTGAGCTTTCCAAGAGGTGAAGTTACTGTAATTCTCTGCAAATTGTCAAGTCAGAGACACGATCCCTTGTGCAGCCTCTCTCACTCTCACACTCTCTCTCAGTCACTCTGCCACTCCGGTCCTCTCACTCACTCTCTCTCTCTGTCTCTCTCTCTCTCTCCGGTAACTCACTGGCTTCTCGTGGAAGGTCACAGCGACAGTTGGCATCAGTTGTTGTTTCACGTCTCAGCTTGTGGTTCAGTCAGTAACTGCCGTGGAGGGAGGGTTGTTAGTGGGTGTGGCATCCGCCACCTGTTTACTCAGCGCTCAATAAAAAATTTACCACATGCTTTCCGAGAAAATGTAAAAGCAAGATTCTCGCTTTCCTCATCATCAGCCCCCGGGGGGGGGGGGGGGGGGGGGTCTTGCCCCCAAAACACGCGGTCACTACACTTTACAGTGTATCCTGCGAAGCGCTTTGAGACGTCTCGACGACGTGATCGGGCGCTGTATGAAACGCAAGGTTTATTATTATTAATTGTTGTAACACTGTGTGCGTGTGTGAGAGAGGGGTTTCTGTCTGTCTGTCTGTCTGTCTGTCTGTCTGTCTGTCTGTCTGTGTGCATGTCTGAGTGTTAGAGTTGGTCTGTATTCTCTTGGGTTTAGGAGGTTGAGGTCCGATCTGATTGAGGTGTTTAAAATAATTAAAGGGATTCGACAGAGAAGCTACAGAGAAACTATTCCCTCTGGTGGGTGGGGGAGCTCAGAACAAGGGGGGGCATCATCTTGAAATCAGAGCCAGGCCATTTAGGACAGACTAGTGGGAATCTTGAACTCTCTCCCTCTCCCTCTCTCCCCCAAAAGGCTATGGATTATGGCTAAAAGAAATGCTCAGATGAAAATAAGACCAGTGTCCACCTCGTTCTCCGTTCCACCTTCCTGGCGGGTGGTCGCCTGCACACCGAACTCCCCACGTACTATATCCCGTCAGGGTGTTTCCTAAAAGAAAACTTATCTAATCTGCGTTTGAAGGAATCAACATTTCCCGCTTTGACCGTCCCCCCGGGAGCTGTTCCTCAGGATGGCTATTCGCTCACTGAAATAGCGTTTGAGAAGATTCGCTCCGAATTTATCCCCCGTCGGCCGCAGCCCGTGTCTGTCCTCGGGTCTCACTATCTGGACCGGATGAAACAATCTGTTGTGATGTGAGTTGTTTGGCCCCTTTAGAGTCTTATAGACAGCAATCGCGTCCCCTCTCAATCTTCTCTTTTCCAGCGTGAACTCTCCCAAGTTACTTGGTCGCTCCTCATAGTCCAGACCCTCTGTTCCCTCCTCTGTAGCCTCTCGATTCCTCCCCTTTTTGTCCTGCAGTGACCAGAGCTGTACACAGTATCTTAGTGTGGTCTCCCCAGTGATTTATACCGGGGCAGGATTACCTGGATATTTCAACTCAATATTGATCTTTCGACCCATCCCATCACCTGATTTGCTTCACTCCCTGACACAGAGTAAGTATTGTGGTGAGTGCTTCAATTTATTGTCAGTCGGGACCCCGGAACCCTTTCATTTTCTGTACAGATTTATTTTGCTTCCTTTAAAATAGTAGTAAAATAATATGCAAATGAAAATCCTTTCTATGTATAGAAATGTGGCTCAGGAGCGATGGGCAGACGACGGCCAGGAAGGTGGACAGCAAATTAGATGGACCTTTTTCGTCCAGGAGTTTTTAATGTTATGTGCGTATCTGTGTGTCTGTATGTGTGTGTGTTTGTGTGTGTATCTTTGTGTATCTGTGTGCGCGTGTGTGTATGTGGTGTGTGTGTGTATCTGTATGTGTGTCTGTATGTGTGTGTATCTGTGTGTATGTGGTATGTGGTGGAGTCCTGTAGCTCAGTAGTTAGAGCACTCGCTTTGCAAGTGAGAGACCTGAGTTCAATTCCAGGCAGAGGGCGAAACCTCGGGCAAGTTTCCTTACTCCACACAGAGCCTAATAATAATCCTCCAAAACCAAAAACAATAATAAATTGGTCATTTTCAATCCACGACTGTTTGTGGGACATTACTGTGTGCAATTGGCTGCCGCGTTCGCCCACAAATATACAGTCAATTCACTTTACAGTGTGTTCTGTGAAGCGCTTTGGGACGTCCTCCCGACGTGAAAAGTGCTATATCAAATGCAAGGATTATTATTATTATTATTATGTGTATCTGTATGTGTGTGCACCTGTGTGCGTGTGCGAGTGTGTATCTGTCCCTCTCTCTCGTCACCGAGATTCACTTTTGTTACTGATCATTCTGTTGTCTGGAGGTTTGTGCTAAAGGATGTATATGTATATGTATATGTAACAAGTGTCAAACCTCACCACTCCCCCACAGAGCACTGGTTACACAATGACAGGGTTTGGGAGCGCGAGTGGGCGATGTGTCGGCGATGTGTCGCTTACTAGACTGTGAACTTGAGCTCACAGTCACGGTTGACCCTACAGCGCAGTGCTGGGGGGGGGGGGGGGTGTGGGGGCGAGAGCGCAGTGCGTGTATATGTATGTGTGTGTATATATAGAGCCCTGTGGCTGAGAGGTTAGAGCACTCACCTCGCAAGCGAGAGGACCCGGGTTCAATTCCTGGCAGGTCAGGGCGAAACCTTGGGCGGGTTTCCTTACTCTATGTACACACGCGATAATAATCTCTCAAGAAAAAACAGTAATAATTTGGTCACTTCAACCCACGGCTGTTTGTGGGACAGACGCTGCTGCACGCGATCGGCTGCCGTGTTTCACCCACAAAATACACCGTCAATTCACTTTGCAGTGTGTCCTGTGAAGGGCTTTGAGACGTCTCAAAGACGGGATAAGGCACTGTGTTAAATGCCAGGATTATTATGTCTGTCTGTCTGTCTGTCTGCATGTAGATCTGTGTGTATATCTGTCTGTGTGTGTGTGCATACCTGTTCAGCCATGTGTTAAAGAATTCCTCCACTCCCACAGCACTACAAAGGGAGTGTTTTTCTCTCTCTGGTATCGGGGCCAACAGTCCCTCAGATGGAATCGGACCATCGGAGTCCTGTAGCTCAGTGGTTAGAGCACTCGCTTTGCAAGTGAGAGACCTGAGTTCAATTCCAGGCAGAGGGCGAAACCTTGGGCAAGTTTCCTTACTCCACACAGAGCCTAATAATAATCCCTCCAAAACAAAAACAATAATAAATTGGTCATTTTCAATCCACGACTGTTTGTGGGACATTGCTGTGCGCAATTGGCTGCCGCGTTCGCCCACAAATATACAGTCAATTCACTTTACAGTGTGTTCTGTGAAGCGCTTTGGGACGTCCTCCCGACGTGAAAGGCGCTATATCAAATGCCAGGATTATTATTATTATCATTCGTGAATTCCGCGGCTTGTTTTGTTTGCAGGATTTTGCTGTGAGCAAATTGGCCGCTGCGGCAGCAAACGACCTGCGATTCCGAGAGGCACTTTGAGGCGTTTCTGAAAACATTATTAAATGATCCAGAGAGAGAGATAAGGAGAGACGGGGGGGGGGGGGGGGGGGGGAGTGGGGGGGAGGGGAGGGGGGGAGAGATAAGGAGAGATGGGGGGGGGGGGGAGAGACGAGAGATGGGGGAGAGGGAGACACTCAGACTCCAGTGAGTAAGAAGTAGTTTATTGTATTTTACAGTAACAGCTCAGTTGGTGAGTTGTGAGTTGGTGTTTCCCGGCGTCAGTTTGGTGGTGAATTGTTTAATATCCGTTCCCGGTGCCAGGAAAAAAATAACTTTCCCAGAGCCGGGAAACAGCTTCATCCTGTGCCCCCGCGGCCCCCCCCCCCCCCCCCCAACCCGACAAGTCCAGTGACTCTCCTCTCCAGAGCCCCACAATGTCGGGTGAGGGTGACCCAATAACCCGGTTACCGGGTCGGTAACAAATCAGCGGCCGAACGACCGGCACAGACCGACCGAGAGACCGAGCAGCAAACCCTCCGCCGCCGGCTTCGGGGTAAAAACAACCAACACACGACGAAAAGCTCCGGCGAACATTCCCGGCAAAAACAAACAAAAAAAAAAAAAGGTTTCGCTCTCGGCCTCGACCGGGCGGGAACTCCGGCCTCAGGAGACGGTCTCGCAGTGGCCGGGGATTCCCGGCGTGAACTCCGGCGCCGGCGGCTCCGCTTCGCCTCCTGTGCCGACCGCAGCTCCCGCTCACGTCCCGGGCCTTGATCCGTGTTCGATTAGAATCGACGCCCGCGACCGGCTCCGCCCCCTCCCCGCCCCCTGCCCCGGCCCCCCGTGTGTCCTCGGGACCCCGCATGCCCCCGGCCCCCCGTGTGCCCCCGGCCCCCCGTGTGCCCCCGGCCCCCATGTGCCCCCGGCCCCCCCCCCCCGGCCCCCCCGTGTGCCCTTGGCCCCCCGTGTGTCCCCGGGACCCCATGTGCCCCCGGCCCCCCATGTGTCCCCGGGACCCCATGTGTCCTCGGGACCCCATGTGCCCCCGGCCCCCGAACCCGGGCCGAGCCCCCGAGAGGGCCCCCCGGGGAGCTTTCCCCCTGGCAGAGCCAAGACCCCTTTTCCCGGACTCCCCCCTACCCCTTCCCGTGCCCCCCGGGCGCTTCCCGACCGGCTGCCAGGCTCCGGAATTCCGCCTCCTGCGTGAAGCTGCCGGGAACAGGTCTGTGAGAGACGGGAAAAGGGAGTCGGTCAGAAACACCATCACTATAATGGACAACAACAACAACTCTCTCTCACTCGCCCCCCCCCCCCCCACCCCGTCTCTGGGGCTCACTCGCTCTCTGTATCTCTTGCTCTCTCTCTCTCTCTCTATATGTAAACACACATAAAAGAACATAGACAATTTATATATAAACACAATCGTGTTATTCATGTCTCACTAAACACGAATATGACAGTTATAATAATAATAATTCTCGCTATTGAAACCAGCGCCTCATCACGTCGTCGAGACGTCGCAAAGCGCCTTCGCAGGACATAACTTGTCAAGTGTAGTGACTGTGAATTCCGTGGGTCACACGTGGCAGTCATGGACGATAAAAGAAACAGTCGTGGATGACAAAAGAAATAGCGATATAGAGATACATATATCTTTTCGGGGATAATAAGGTCGATATCACGACTTCTCGGTCACCCTTTATAACAGGTTCTAACAGGGTCTCACTGTATCTCTCCCCCCCCCACCACCCCACCACCACCACCTGTCACGAGTCCAGGTTGGGAGGGGAGAGAGAGGATGTATTCATCACAACTCTGAGCAGCGATAGGAAATGAAATGATAACAGGAAATAGCTGGTAAAATCCCCCCACCCAACCCCCCCCCCTCCGCCCAGGATGAGAGACACAAGTATAGGAAGCCAGCAACAGATGAGGCCAAGGCAGAGCGAGATAAAGGGAGGTTCCCCTCTCTTTTCCCCCCCACCCACCACTCCCCCCCCCCCCCGCCGCAGCTCAGCTCAGTCGGGCTCGGCTGCTCTTCACGTCTCGGTTCATCGTGAAAGCAGAGCCCAGAGCCCAGAGCTCACCCCACAGCCCAACACCAACAGCTCAGCTCACAGGAAGCAACTGGTGGGGGGGGGGGGGGGGTTTAGCAAAGGGGGTTAACGACTGTTGAGACGGGGCTGTTAAGGGGTTACTCTCCGCTGGAGACGTTACCCGGGTTTATTGTTGTTGTTGTTGTTTTGTTACCTGGGTCGGGCTGCACTCCCACTTCCTGTCTGTAATACTCTACGTCGGAATCCTCCTCGTTCTCCTCTTGTGGGGGCCGCTCCCCCTCCCCCTCCCCCGGGTCCTCGGCCCCGCTGTCCCCCTCCTCACTCACTCGCTTCCGCTTCATCCCCGCCAGGCTCTGATTCCTGTAGGGACCAGAGCAAATACACCCTCTCCATCACACGCTCTCACACTCGCTCCATCACTCTCACACTCTCCATCACTCTCTCACACTCTCCATCACCCACTCACACTCTCCATCACCCTCTCAGACCCTCTCCATCACACCCTCTCACACTCTCCATCACCCTCTCAGACCCTCTCCATCACACCCTCTCACACTCTCCATCACCCTCTCAGACCCTCTCCATCACACCCTCTCACACTCTCCATCACCCTCTCAGACCCTCTCCATCACACCCTCTCACACTCTCCATCACCCTCTCACACATTCTCACACTCTCCATCACACCCTCTCACTCTCCATCACCCTCTCACACCCTCTCACACTCTCCATCACCCTCTCAGACCCTCTCCATCACACCCTCTCACACTCTCCATCACCCTCTCACACACTCTCACACTCTCCATCACACCCTCTCACACTCTCCATCACCCTCTCACACACTCTCACACTCTCCATCACCCTCTCACACTCTCTCCATCACCCTCTCACTCTCTCTCCATCACCCTCTCACACACTCTCCATTACCCTCTCACACTAACCTTTGCTGCTCTTTCTCCACCTTCTTGCGCTGTACATTCTCTTCCTGTTTCCTGCGACGTTCCAGCTTCAGCTTCAACCGCTTCTCCTTACACCTCAGCATTCCGGCCAACTCCTCCTCCGTCTTGTTCACTGGGGACAGACACACACAGACTTGGGTCACACACAGTACCACACAAACACACACACACACACAGCAACCTGGCGCACCTCTCCCCTCCCCCTGTATCTCACTGCCCACCCTCGCTCTCCCCCCCCCCCCTCTCCCCTCCACACTCTCTCTGCTGGCTCCCGGGAAGGGAAGGGTTACTGACCGAAGGAATGATACATGACGTTGCCGCTGCACATCCCCTCCTCGATCTTCACCAGCTCCAGGGTCAGGCGGGGGCCGATCTGCCGCACACACAAAAACACAGTCACTACACTTTACAGTGTATCCTGTGAGGCACGTCTTGAAGACGCATTAAGGCACTGAGTCAAATGCCAGGATCATTCCTGGGTATTGTCAGCCAGGAAACGGGTGGGGGGGTGGGGGGGATCTGTGGGTGCGACTGAAAGGGGTAGGAGCGAGGGGTGAGTCCTGTGGGGGGGGGGGTTGGCAGTGGGAGGGAGAGCGAGGGGGGAGGGGGGCAGAGGGGGGAGCTGTGTGGGGGTTACAAGGTGGGGGGGGGTTCCTGTGGGGTGCCGAGGGGTGGGAAGTAGAACTGTGGAGAGGGTGGTTGTGGTGGTGGGGGGGGGGGGGGGAGGAGGGGGGGTGGGCAGACCTCTGTCAGGCGGATGGCGCTCTGCTGGGATTTCATGTTTCCTCGACCAGCGTAGACCTGGGGCAGTTCAGTGATGTTGTGATCCCCGTCCTGCTCTGCCTCGCTCTCCGACAGGTTCACTCCCCTGCAACACAGCGGTAAAGCAATCCAGCTCAGGGCAGTGCCAAGAGGGTCAGACAGAGAGACAGAGACAGAGAGAGAGACAGAGAGAGAGACAGAGAGAGACAGAGAGAGAGAGAGAGACAGGGAGACAGACAGGGAGACAGACAGGGAGACAGACAGGGAGACAGGGACACAGGAGACAGGTTGAGAGGGGGATTGAGAGAAAGAGAGACTGTCGGAGAGGAAGAGAGAGAAGGAGAGCGCGGGGCGGGGAAGGGGGAAGACAGATAAATCTGCAAGAGGGTCAAAGGAGCAGAGAAAGGTTCATAACGTCAGACACAGAGGGAAGAGAGAGCGAGAGACGCACCCCCCCACACACACACACACAGCGAAAGGTAGTTAGAGAGAGAGAGAGAGTTCCAGAGGGTGGGGGCAGAGAGGCTGAGGTACCTGACGAGCAGGTCACTGATGTCCTCCAGGCTGTTCATGTTGGGGAACTTCTCCTGTAACAGCTTCTTCACTCCCTTACTCATCCCCACAGGCACCACCTTAATAGAGCTGCCAGAGAGAGAGAGAGTGTGTGCATGTGTGAGAGAGAGAGAGAGAGAGAGTGTGAGAGAGAGTGTGTGTGTGAGAGAGAGAGTGTGTGTGAGAGAGAGAGTGAGGGAGTGTGAGAGTGAGGGAGAGTGGGAGAGTGTGAGAGTGAGGGAGAGTGTGAAATTGTGTGTAAGTGTCACAGAGAGAGAGAAAGAGAGAGAGATGAAGCTCACACTCACTAGTGTCTGAAGTCGATGAGTTGTGTGTCCGAGTGATAGTTGATTAAAACACAGCGCTTGATGGCATTCAGACCGACCTGCGGGGAGAGAGAGAACATGGGAGTTAAAGTCTGTCATTCTCTTCCTGCCCCTCGACCACCTCTTCCCCCCTTTGCTGCCCCCCCCACCCTCTCCCCACCCCTCCCACCTTGTGGACGTTGATGCTGGGGAACATGTTCTGGAAGAGCGAGGCCAGGAGCCGCACGTGGATGCCGTCGCCGCTGAAGTTGTTGAGGATGAGCAGCGGGTGATGCTTAAACTGCTGCTCGTGCATCCGGTGTCGCTTCACTGCGGACACTACATCCTTCACCAGGGAGTACTGTGACACAGAGAGAGTAATACCGACAGAGTAAGAGAGAGAGAGAGAGAATACAGAGAGAGAGAGAAATACAGAGAGAGAGAATACAGAGAGAGAGAGAGAATACAGAGAGAGAGAGTCATAGAGAGAGAATACAGAGAGAGAGAAATACAGAGAGAGAGAAATACAGAGAGAGAATACAGAGAGAGAGAATACAGAGAGAGAAAGAGTAAGAGAGAGTAACAGAGAGAGAATAATAGAGAGTAACACAGAGACAGAGAGAGTAACAGAGAGAGAGTAACACAGAAAGAGAGCATAATATACATAGAGAGAAAGAGAGTCACTTGTGGAGACAGACACATGTCCAGAGGATGGAGGGAAGGAAGGAGACAGAGAGAGAAAGAGAGAGAGGGGGGGGGTGGTAGCGACACTTACCTGCAGAACCTTAAAGCAGGCTGTGGGGCCTTTGGGCAATCGAGCCAATTTCTGGGGAGACAGAGACAGTCATCACTGCCCTGATATCACTGTATCTAACAATGTCAATAAATACGATAAACTGTGACTGGTGTGTGTGAGGGGGGGTGGGGGAGGCTGGTGTGTGTGAGGGGGGGTGGGGGCTGGTGTGTGTGAGGGTGGGTGGAGGCTGGTGTGTGTGAGGGTGGGAGGGGGAGGCTGGTGTGTGTGAGGGTGGGTGGGGGCTGGAGTGGGTGAGGGGGGGGAGGGGGAGGCTGGTGTGTGTGAGGGTGGGAGGGGGTGGAGACTGGTCTGTGAGACATTTAAATTCTCCCCAAACTTACAAAGTTCACGCTTGTCGATGTTTTGGTGAAGATGAGGAAGTGAGTGACCCCCAGCGGCCCGGCCACAGCCACAAAATCCTTCAACACGTTCTTCTTCCTCACCTGGGGACACCGGGAGAGAGGGAGCGCGTCAGAGAGACAGACAGAGGGAGAGAGAGAGGGAGAGGTAGAGAGAGAGAGTGTGTCAGAGAAACCGAGAGTGACAGAGAGCGAGAAAACGTGAGAGAGAGAGCAGGAGAGTGTCAGAGAAAGAAAGGGAGAGAGCCAGAGAGAGAGAGAGTGTCAAAGAGGGGCAAAGCGACAGAGATTGGGAGAAAAAGGAGGGAGAGCGCGTCAGAGAGTGACAGAGAGAATGGGATAGAGAGCACCACAGAGCTTCAGAGAGAGGGGGTGAGAGTGTCGTGGAGAGAGCGACAGAGCAGGGGGAGAGAGAGATACGGAGATGGGGGGGAGTGGGGGGGGGGGTGGAGAGAGCGGGAGAGAGCGTCAGACAGAGAGAGAGAGATAAGAGGGCGCGAGAGTGCGATAGAGAGCATCAGAGAGCAACAGAGAGAGGGAGAGAGTGACAGAGAGAGAGGAGAAGAGAGAGTCAGACGAGAGA